TGATTAATAATGATAACAATACATATAGATACATTAGTTTGATAATATGAACTTTTATATAAACAACACATGGAGATTAAAAACTTTATCTAGAATATGTTATAAAGATGCATTGTGATTGGATGATCTCGGGATGATTTAATGGAATGTTATCATGTAATCCTATTCTAGATTTTGAATATTATATATAAAAGGATGTAAAAACAATTATAGTCAAATTGAGATATAATAATTGTGATATACATGAATATAGGTGAATTTAAAATATGTGATTTGATATGAAAAGCAGGTGGTGACTATGGAAGACATGCATGGAAATACTGTAACTGACACACTTTCTACAATTTGTAATGGAAGATGGGTTTTTTATTTTTATTTTTATATTTGTTTGTCCTTGTTCAAAAACAAATAAAATTGTTTTATTAAAAAAAGCAGCACTCCCAATGGACCAGTGGTTTCAAGAAAATGAAACTTTATTAACACAGCAAGAAGGCTTTGCCTGGAAGGGGTCGAAGTTATTCGTATGTACCAAGTGTGGTACAGGTGGCTGTGCTGTGGTGCTGCCATGACGTTCGCTCGGCTGGACATTTTAGGTTCCTCAAGACTTTGCATTTAGTAAATCGCCAGTTCTGGTGGCCCCACATGAAAAGGAACATAGGGAATATGTAAGGAGTTGTGTTGTTTGCACTACCATGAAGGTCCGGCCTGGCTGGCCTCCTGGACTTTTACAGCAGGTGGCAGATCCAATTCGGCCATGGGAACAGATAGCCATGGACTTCAGCGTGGATTTACTGGACAGCCAAGGAAACAAGGTCATTTGGACGATAATAGACCTGTTCTCCAAGCAGGCTAATTTTGTAGCATATGCCGGCCTTCCATCTGCTAGGAAGCTAGCCAAACTGTTTATTATCCATGTCTATAGACTCCATGGCATCCCCAAATGGATAATTTCAGACAGGGGAGTGTAATCCACTGCCCGGTTCTGGCATAGATTCATGGCAACGGTGGGGTCTTCATAGGGACTTAGTACAGCCTTGCACCCTGTGACCAATGGTGCTGCGGAGAGGGCAAACGTGATGGTAGAGTGCTACTTAAGATGTTACGTCCAGTACCAACAGACCGATTGGGCTGAACTCCTTTCATTTGCAGGGGTTGAATATAACAATGCAATGCACAAAAGTACGGGGTTTACCCCATTTCATGAGGCTACAGGGCAGGAGTTCGTCCCAATTCCAGAGTATCCTCAGGTGCACCCAGATGACACGACCTCGCAGGAGTGGATAGCCCGGATGCAAAAAGTTTGGAAAGTGGTGAGGGATGTGTTATGTTACTCTTTTGCCACATATAAAAAGAGTGCCAATAAAAGGCGGAAGATGCAAGGACCTTTCCACATAGGTCAGAGGGTATACCTCTCCACTAAATATCTCAGGCTGCCATTGCCATGTAAGAAACTCAGGCTCAAATTCAAAAACTGCCACCTTCTAGGGGTTGATTAAAACCAGAAGGGGAAAGCAGCTCCTCCTCGCTGTCTGGGGACATTGCGACCTGCTGAGGACTGTCATTGGTGCAAGACTGTAACATGAAAGGGTGAGGACTGACCTGTCCTGTGGCCCATTGTTCATTGGCCCTCCTGGCTGCTTCTCTCTGGGCTTTAGTGAATTCATGATCCGAGGCCCTCTGTCACTGGCACTCCACTTGCTGTGTGGCCTTAGAGGCCTTCTTGGAGTGCCCTCTCAACCTGGACTCAGAGACTTGTCTTTTCCTGGCAGGCCTCAGTCCTGAGGGCCTTGCCACATCCTCTCTATGAGAGGAGGAGATCTGAGGGGTTTCTAATACCCCGGCTAATGGCTCCTTCATGGCATCAGCCATTTTGAATATGCCATGTGGCAAGCACTGCTGGTATAAGCCACATCCCTGCAGCCCTGAAAATGACGTGCCCAGAACATGGGCAGTGATACATTAGCCTTCTAGATTGTTGTGGCTGAAGGGCTCTAAAAGGGGCTCCACCCCACACTAATGTTCCCTGGGGAAAATTTCTAGCTGCTCAAAGTGGCACCCAAGTCTCACCTCGTCGTTGCAGCTCTGAAAATGGTGGTGATCATCGTCATGGTTCTCAAAATGGCAGCAATCCTTCTTTCAGGTCTATTTGCTGCTCCTCGAGGCCTGGAGCTATCACCAGAGAGTAAGCGCTCATGCGCTTTGCCCTGGTCTAGGATTGGACTGCCTGCGGTGATCGCCGCTGCTTCCTGCAGTCAGAGGGTCAGCATTCTGGAGCTTCACTCATGGGTGCTGCCCTGTAGTGGCCTGAAATGCAAGGCTGTAGTGCTGCCTTGCAGCCCTCAGTGGAATTTGCCAAAAGCCCTTGCCGCTGGAATGGGAGGCTGCTCTAGCTGGATCTGTTGGGAGCTAGCATCTAAATTAAGATGTTATCAGATGTTATTGATGGTGTAGAAGTATTCAAGAATGGAAGAGAGATTAAAAACACATCTTGTCCTAAGATAAACTGAATCTAAAAGCTTGGAGGAGCTGAGAGGAGGCGTGTCATTACAGATTGCAGACTCAGTTCGATTGGATGACAGGCAGAGTTAACCCATTCCTGGATGCTGTCTCCACCACTATGGAGAACAGCAAAAATTGCATATATCCATGAAATCACCAGCAATTTGGTTCAACTCAACAGTCTTTATCTTATTTTTTTCCCTAGGAAAAAAATGAATCAAAAACAGTAATGTTAAACACGATCTAATTTTTTTCCCAAAACAATCTGTGGACTCTAATTCTTTCAGAACTGTACTTTGACTAAAAATGATATATCATTTTAAAACTCTTTTTCAAAAAAATAAATACTAAAAGTATAAAAAGTTGACAAACAATCTTAATGTCATATATTCAATCTATTTCTATATTGTGACAATCCATTCCTGTCATAAACAGAAAAGACTTCATTGTTTCATACAGTGGCACAGTGATTAGAATGTAGTATTACAGAAGTTTGATCTTGACCAGCTCAAGGTTGATTCAGCCTTCCATCCTTCTGAGGTCGGTAAAATCAGGACCCAGATTGTTGGGGACAATATGCTGACTCTGTACACTGCTTAGAGAGGACTGTAAAATACTGTGAAGTGGTATATAAGTCTGAGTGCTATTGCTATATTTCACATCATTCCAAAAATATCACTGAAGTCGTATTTGAAAACCTTAGAAATGTTGGCAAATGTAAGTTATAATCCAACACATTAGTAGCCCATCATGATGGGAAAGCTTCTGAAGATTTTTATAGTGTTTAAATTTCACAGAAAGGCAAAAGAAACAATTGGAAACAAGAGTTTCCTAATTATATTACCTTTACTTTTTGAAGGGTGGCTTTTAATTGATATTCATTTCCTGGCTCAGCTGGAATGCTGACAACACTGCTGGCTTCGTTTAACCATAAAATAAACTTATTGAAGTTATGCTGTAATTCTGCCAGAAGATGCTGTTCCTCATCAAATCTGTAGTGACAAAAGAAAAATAGAATTAATACTTAATAGATTGTATATTTCTATTAAAAATACATTAATTTAACATAATTTAGCTAACATAAATATAATTGCAAAATATTTTAACAGATGCCCAGCAACATATATTTCAGAATTCAAATAAAGTATTCACAATTTAAGTGGCATTCCCCCACCCCCAACTAATCCATCAATTAATTCAATGCTTTTAAAACTGTCTACACATAAAATCAAAATAATTCAAAAGAGATTGTAGATTTCCAATCTGTTATTTGTTAGTGAATTCACTTGTGGTAATATTTTGTGAGGCAGTGCTAGTTGTGCTGCTAGTAATTCCAGGAATATCTGAAATTGAACTGCTTTATACATAGAATTTAGTGATCGGCCATGTGCAATCAACACTATGAAATGCAAACAGGATGTAAGAAGTAGCATACATTGCTAAATTCAAGTTCAAATTTTTATTGTGGACAATTTTTAAAGCTGAAGTTACCCTATAACATTTCTTTGAAAGATAGAATGAAACATTTTAAATATGCAGATGGATCTACATATTTCAGAGCTGTCATGGACAAGCACACCGTATCACTGAAGAGCAAGCTGGGTTCAGAGAGGGGAGAAGCGCCACAGATCAGTGCTTAGTTCTTCATCATCTGATTGAAAAATACTTATCAAATAGATCTATATCATTATATGCCGATTTTATAGATCTCAAGTCAGCCTTTGATATGGTTACCAGGACTAAGCTATGGGAGAAGCTGGAAGCTGCTTCAATTTACCACAGGCTTCTTCATCTATTATGTGCCCTACATACTAAAACATCCCTCAAGGTGAAGTATAATATGCAAGGGTCCCTCTCAAAGTCAGTTAAAACTCAAAAGTGGGTTAAACAGGCATGCATTTTGGGCCCTCCCTGCTGCTCTATGCAGATGACGCTGTGATCCTCTCCAGGACACCAGTAGGTCTTAAAAGAGCCTTGCGAGCCCTTGTCCAGTATTGTAAAACTGGACATAAATTATGAGAAAACAAAGATCATGGCCTTTGCAAAAAGACCAAAACTTTATTCATGGTATCTAAATGGTCACAAAATAGAACAAGTAACCACCTTCAAATACCTGGGGGTGGTCATTCAGGCCAATGGTTCAAGAAAAGCACATGGAGAATATGTGGCTGCCTTGGGCCAAAAATCAGCGAGTGTCATCCTTAATTTTTTTCCATACAAAGGGAGAATATTATGTCCCTGCCACAATTAAGCTTTTTCTGGCGAAGTTGCTAGCAGTGGTTCTTTACAGGACCTTGCTCAGATCATCAGCGTCATGTTTTATACCATTAGAAATAGTTCAATCCAAATTCATTGGATTAATTCTCCAGATGCTGCATTGTGTCTTAAATGCACTTCTGCATCTGGAGACAGGATTGACAAAAGTCAAAGCAAGAATCTGTATAGTGTCCTTAAATCTCTGGCTAAAGCTTAACTTCTTTCTGCAAGGTCTTGCTCCATTAATCCTCCAAGACAAATTCTCCTCATCATGAATTAACGCTGTCAAGTCCAACCTTGCCAAACTAGGTTTCTCTCCAGCTTCAATACTCAAGATGGATTACGACCTAGCAAGACAAACCTTGCAACAAAGGGTGGAGGACATTGAGAGGCAGGCAGACTTAGGGAAAGTTCCACTGTTTCTGGCTCAAGATGCCATTAGATGTGTTGTTGCTCCTGCCAGCTATCTTAGTCAGTTGGAGTCAGCAAACCACCAGAACACATTTTTGCTTGCACAGTGCCACGTGCTTCCATCGGCTGTCTTGTATGGCAAGTATAAAAGGACACAATTGATGGAAAGAAACTGCTCCTGCAGAGGTGGAGACTGTGGGTCACATGCTCTTTAGATGTTCCTTGTATACAGAGATTAGGAAAAAACATTCTGCCCATAACTGCTAGGTATCCTGGCCATTCCGATACTACCTATCTTCAGTGGCTGCTTAAGGATGAACAGTCCATAACTACAGTGCAGGTGGCCAGATTCTGTGCAGCAGCACTGGGGATTCATCACAAACTCGTGTCTTCTCCACCATAGTTATGTTATATAACAAATGTGGCAAACTCTTTGCACTGCTTAGTCTTTTCCCTTTTAGCGTTGAACCGACATCGGACCACACAATTTATGGATTATAATTTTACAATCCAAGTAATTGACAGACTGAATTTTATTACAGATTTTAGTAGTTATTTATTATTTTATGCCATAATTTTTAATTGTATATTTACTGAGTATTTTTATTTCTCTGGTCTCTGGTCTAAGACTGTAATAAACTGATTGATAGCTACTATGAGAACCTAGGGAAAAATACACCTTCTTTAAGTTAATGGAACTGGTAAAGCCATGCCGTCCCTCAAGCAATCTTAGGATTTTAAATCTGAAACTCTGTATATCCTTACTTAATATGGCAATTTGGTAAAATGATTTCCATGTTTGGAACTTACCAACCAAATAAACTTTCCACCACTCTCAAATGAACAAAAATATAAGAAAAGAGGACTTGCATTTATATGCTAAAAATATCAATTCCTGCTTAGAAGTCCAAATGAACCAAGTAATGCTGCAGACCAGTGGTTCTCAACCTTTACTTCACCATAGACCCCACTTTACTATATAAAAACAAAGGCCACATGCATAGATTTAGAATGGACGTTGGTCTTACCTGAGACACCCATTCTCTGGGCAGGTGGAGATAGCATCCAGGAATGGGTTAACTCCATCTGTTATCCAATCAAACTGAATCTGCAATATTTAATGTCCTGCCTCCTCTGATAGCTCCACCCAGTTTTTTGACAAACAGGTTGCTGCAGTCTGACATGTGATGAGTGGGAAGTCTCTCTTTGCTTATGCTGGACTGGACCTCCAACAGGGTGGGGCTGGATGCTATCTCCACCTGCCTAGAGAACAGGCATCTCAAGTAAGACCAATGCCCATTCTCCATTGTTGGTGGAGGTAGCATCCAGGAATGGGACAAATCAAAGTGTCAGGTCTGCAGCTGGTTCCTTTTGGGATCTTTGGCCTGCCACACTAATATTCTATTCTACTATGCTGTTTCATTAGTGGGGAATTGGGAGCGGAAGTAGTAAGGAGTAGAATGTGATGTTGGAAATTCCTTTCTAGAATCCAAGGTCATCCTTTGTCTCTACACCTCTGCACCTGACCAGAACTGGATGGGTGGAACTGCCAGTGTGGCAGTGGAAGATTGGACCATAGGATGGGCTTATGGGCATGGGGGCAGGATCTTAAACTTTCAACTGGGTGGGGAAAACCAGGAAGCTTTCAGATTTGGGTTCCCCCAAATGTGCCAACATGATTCTCTTAATAAATTGGAACTTTGAGCAATACTTTGCCTTAGACTCCGATTTAATTTTGGATGTTATTTGAAACCCTGACATTAACCTGAATCTGCCTTAAAATACTTCACCAGCTACCCCTGCAGTGGATGCTGGGAGGGGTGCTGACTCCTGACACTGACCCGACCCGGCAGCATAAAATATCAGTGAAGATGGAGATAAAGCCCGTGGGAATGGTAGCAGCTAATGGGTCTCTTCTCTCTGCTGACACAATCTGCAAACATTCCAAAGCTGTAAGGGAAGCTGCAGAGGAGAAAACCTGGAGATTTATGGCATCTGGAGAAATGCTGTCAGAGCCAGAGGAGGTTGAAAGGGCTGTTTCAACACACGGCTGGAGAATACAAAAGCAATCATCCAGTAGCCGACCAGATGATTGGAGCCTCCTAGACCCCTTTGTGCAGCTGAACATGAGTGAAATCAATCATTGTGTTAGCTCAGGACCACCTAAATGGGCCCTGGTTCACCCCACATTCTCCTTCCCTAGCAGAGGCTCTGCAGTGCACTGGAGTGGAGATTTTTACTCCTTCCACACAGTGACAAGTGAAGCTGAGCTGCAGACAGATCCCGCATCAACATGGGGAAATCAATCTAGCCAGCAGAAAGGGGCTTGTGCAACATCTACTAGCCAGCCACTGATGTTTAGACTGCAGCCTGTGAATCAAGCACCACCGGGGTGGGCTTCCTTCCCAGGTCATGGATGGTAGAGATACCAGTGTCTGCCTGCTTGGCCACCAACATGGGGAAATCAATCCAGTCAGCAGAAAGGGGCTTGGCCCACATCTCCCCCTAGCCAGCCACTGATGTTTGGGCTGCAGCCTGTGAATCAAGCACCACGAGGATGGGCTTTCTTCGCAGGTCATGGATGGGAGAGATGTCATGGGTGCCTGCCTTCCCTCAGCAGATGGCACCATGTCTGATAACTGGACAGGGGCCAACTCAGGGATTCACACCTCCCCCCCCCAAAATTCCAGTCTCACCTGAAATGCCCCAACAGGTTCTTACCTCACCTTCCAATAGAGAAATAATCTCGACAATGGCAGAAGGTATGAATGAGGGGGAATAGCAAGGAGTAGAATGTGATGTTGTCAAAATAAAATTCCTTTCTAGAATCTGAGGCCATCCTTTGACGCTACACCTCTGCACCTGACAGAACTGGATGGGTGGAACTGCCAGTATGGCAGTGGAAGATTGGACCATGTAATGGGCTTGTGGGTGAGGGGGCAGGATCTTGAACTTTCAATTGTGTGGGGAAAACTTGGAAGCTTTCAGATTCAGGTTTCCCCAGATGTGCCAACATGACTCTCTTAATAAATTGGAACTTTGAGCAATACTTTGCCTTGGACTCTGATTTAATTTTAGATGTTATTTGGAACCCTGGCACAAAGCCTGTCCTGTTCTCATGGGTGGGTTGTCATCCAAGCCAAAGTCTGTGAACCTGCTGTAAAACCTGCCTGCCAAATGCAGCATCTGCCGACACATAGCTGTCTGTAATGGCGGATAAATGGGGATGGAGAGGCCCATGTGGTAGCCCGACAAACCTCTTCCAGTGAAGTCTGTGTTACTCATGCCACTGAAGTGGCTGCACTCCTGGTGGAGTAAGCCGTGA